ATTTTTGTGTCGTAGTACATATTTGGATGGGATATATTGACGGCGTTTAAAGAAATTTTTATTTTTAAGAATAAATTTACATGTCTGAAAAATGTGTGATGAGGGTAGCGTGATTATATTGCGCTTTTAGAGGTAAAATCAAATGAGCTAACCATTCAAGCAAACTTTGCCTCGTATATTGTCTATTTATTATTAAGAAATACTTTCGATTGGACCTGGCGGAATCATCAACGTCGTAGTTTTACTGAACTGCGGCATAATACTGAGTTAGGCCCTTTTTGCTGACACAGTACACTTAACTCTACACCTTAATACAATATAACACTTCTGACCATACCCGCAAACCTAGACTAGCCGTTTTTTATTCCTAACATTGTACTTACGTCATAAGCTTGTTTTGTAATGTCTGTGATTCAGCAAATAAACGGATAATCTATCCATTACATACGACAAAAGTCGCATAAATCCAAGTACCTTAAAGTACTTAAACAGAGCAACAAATAACAAAGTTGAAGTAATTTTACATAAAAATAAGACTACCCACTCAAGTAGGTAGAAAGGGGCACACATGCCACTTTATGTATCCCATAACTTCAGCGTCGCACCCTGCCCTCGCCATGGGAGGGGCGATCGTGCAAAAAACGTCGGCACTCGCTCCAACAAAGATAGGAAATGCAACCCGCCATTACAGAAAATTGGCTGGGATCCCGTCCCAACAACGCATGATTATACTGCGAAATTTTAAATTGTATTTTACACTGGCCACTAATTTGGTATCCCAATTTTAAGTGGACGTATTTCTCTACAATTTTGTGCCAAATACAAAAGTTTTATATACACTTAGTACAAAAATACTTTTAGTTAACAAATGTTTGCAAATCATAAGGCAGTTGCAAAAGAATAGCGCATACAAAATCTTAATAAACTGTCTTTAATAACTTCTCTCATTCCAAGTCTGAATTCCTGAACAAAACAAGAAACAAATAATACGATCAAAGTCAGCTAAATAGGTTTTTCTCCAGCTGCGATAGTAAATTCTGAAACGGCACATGTCAAATTAATTGTAAGTGCAAGGCTGGTTCTTCACGATGGAGTTTAAGGTGTAAAATGGCGTTGGAGGGAAGTTAGAAAATCCAAAGTTTGATTAAGGGGCTGTCGTATTGTTCATTAAACTTGGATTAAGTTTGCGCTGGATAGAACGAGCTGGCAGGCAGTTAGCGTCACAAGAAAAAACAACTGCCGGAGGGTATAAAGGAACTTTGCGAAGAAACTTTGTTTACTGTGAGAACATCTTCATTGATGGACATTGAATTAAATAAGACTGTAATGTTTTTGAGATATTTAATTATGTTTCGTATTCATTACCTACTGTTAGAATAAAAAATATATGTATACACTAACTAAGGCCTTCTTTAAAGAAAGTTGATGATATTGTAGGTGTGTTGCAATGCCTTCTGAAATCTTATGCCTTGCAGTTTATGAATAAGTACGTAATTTTCTAGCTAAAAACACTAAACTCACATGGCATTACGTTTTCAAGTAAAAGTAATATGCTTTAGAAATCTAGGAACATTCATACTGCAGCCACGCATGCAATGTAAACTACACAACTTACTAAAATAGTAACAGTATCTGTACCTACGCTGTCTATTTATTGATCAAACAGCCATTGATCGCGTGTTCCCACCTTTTGTGCGGGCCGGCTGGAAGCTGGAATGACGCAGCACTCTCGGATGACCGCCGTCCTACCATTGTGATCATCTAATTCAATAAAATCACCGGACATTTTTGTTTATTTGTGTCATTGGTGAAAGAAAAGTAACAAGAGCGCATGATATGATATTGTAGACCAGAATGAAAAATGGCAAATTCTTAATCAACATGTAATAAAAAGGTAGAAACAAAGCGTAGTAATTGAAGTTAATTGTAAAATTGTTTTAATAAGCATTTTGGTAACCAAAGCCAAACAAGGAAGTATTTATATCAATATTTATATATTGAGCACTGGTAAGGGAATAAATACGTAAATAAGAAATTCGAAACTATATAAAACTTAAACTAAAAATTAATATATAAATTAAAATAAAAATAAACTAAAAACTGTAACTACGAAAACTCGCCATTTTCTGTTTCGATATTTACGTTTTTTATTTTATTCAAGGAAGATCGTTGTATTGAATTCCTGACGCAGTTTCGATTATATTTTAGTCAAAAAAAAACACTCTTGAAAAGGTGTCTACTCACCTAAGTGATATAGGCTAGTGAAAAGCTGGTACGTTTATTACAGGTTTCTCAGTATTTTAGATTATCGAAGGGTAGCAAGCGAAGCTTTCTGGGAATCCGTTTGAATTGTACAATTCAATTACTTGAGCATTCCTCAATCGATATGCAGGAAATTTTAAACGTTTTAAAGTATAAAATATAACAGACGTCAAAGATCACTAAAATATTGAGTCAATGGGAAAAAATATGCAATAGTAAAATTTTACAATTCCATATCTTAATTTACAGAAGGAAGGCACTTTTGAACAAGGCAGCTTAGAATAAATGCGTTTACGCAGTCAGTTTGAATGAAAGTGTAGTAGCAATAATGTTTATAACAAGGCACCACCGAACCCCACACTTGTCATTGGCAAAGGTCTGTGTGGCCGCGCCAAAAACTGAATGAGAGGTCGAGTTTTGTTTCAGTGTCGAAAAGTAAACATTCTCAAAACTAGTTGTGAGGATATTACTGGAAGAATGTAGATAATGGTTAGTTGAACTTTGCTCGTGGAATGGATTATTTTACTGCTAAAATATTAAACCTACAGCATACTACGTGTGTTACATACACACTCATTTCACTCATACATTCATACATACGCATTCACATTCACATTCACATTCATACGCATGAAAAATATTTGTTATTTTGAAGAGTATCTTTGAACACGTTTAGAGATTCTGATTAGCTTCCTCTGCTAATATTTTTATAAGATGTTTTTTATTCATTCATTGTTTGGAATTCTGACAGTATTACAAACTTTTTCATCGTGTTTATTATGAATGATTATAGTTAAATAATAGGTCTAACTACTACAGCAAACAAAAGAAATAAATCATAGTGATTTAGGATTTTACAACCAGATATGTAAAAATGTTCAAACTTTAACTTTCTTCCTTTCTCCCCTACTGTAAATAAAGAAAAAAAAAACAGAAAAATGTTATATGTATATATGTTATAAACACATGCTGTACTGAAATAAAAAAACAAGAGAAAAATGGAAAGTAATTGCGAGCACAAATGTGTGGAATTCCAAGGAAAGAATAACTGCAACGTTTCGGTAGGCAACCGATATTACGCCTTAGTAAATTGGTGGTATTCCGGCTTGATCCTATATAGGAGCTCCTAGTTCAATGTATTAGTCCTCATGTCGGCTGCAGTCGGTTCCCTTGTGTCGGTCTTACTCTTGTATTAGCAGCTTACACCGCATGATATTCGAAGGATCATGACTCGCAAGTATGTTTTGTTTTTGTACACTGCTTGCTGGATTGTAACATTGGTACACTTGTACTGTCACAGATTGTTTCGGATTCAATAGTCACGTGATAATCGGGCCATTGTTTATTTATAATTTTTTTATATTTTACATCTAGACTTCTTCACTTAAGTATGTCAAATTTGCTTTATGTATTTGACACAGATACAGCCAGTATTATGCCTCATTCAGCCTATTTGGATAAAGCAGTACGATTTGAATAAATCCTTTTTACTCTGCTGATGGTATTATTGTATACCGTTCCCGTGCTTTCATGATTAATTTTTTTTTAAACAAAAGCTGTTGCGTAATTTAAAAGGTATTCATAATCTTATAAATGATGCGATCACTATCAATATAAACGAACGTTGACTGAATTACGTATCCCATAACGAAAACTATTAATTTTTACCTCAGTATTACTTGTCGTCCATTATCATAATGAGTGATAAAAATAATAAAAATAAAGGAAACTGCATATTAAATATTTAAAACGCCTTGTCGTTACTAACAGAGACCATGTTCAAGCGGTATTATTATTAAACAGCTTCTTAATCTCTACAAGCCATTGAGCTAACAAACAACTCCTTTCTCTTTCTTTCTGATCTGTATTCGTATACGCTAGACAGAGATCGGTATATAGTTTCAACAGTGGCATTAAAAGTTGTATGATATTTCTGTTTCATTCGCTCTCATCGTGTTGTTTACGCGTGGAAAGGGGAACATTATTGTTGCGGTTTGATGCTTTTCAAGGTTGACCCCCTGGACTTTCAGTCTTATTACTGGTATATTTAAGGTGCAGATTGTAGTGAATGGTTTAGTATAAGACTGCAGAAGAACAGCTCCGCCTTAAAAATGGAAGGTGGTATGTAAAAATTGATGAACATGTATAGGAGTCCTTAAAGTGACAGAGTGCGCTGGCGTGTTGGGCAGTGTATATTGTCTCAAAATGTCGCGGCGAGAGACCGCGCCTTCATTGTTTATTATCAAAAAGTGATAAATCAAATGACTTTGCAATAATGTTAGAAAAACTTAGCTGTTTCTAAAATTGTGAACTTGTCATTGAAACTTTTGAGTTAAGTGACAGTGTTTTAAAGTTTCTGTGGACTTGCTGTGCTTGTGAAAGATACAGTGATAGTTGTAACAAATAAACGGCATTGGATGTAGATTCTTAATTTTATGTTTAAAAAGGTACAGTGATTTCAAGTGAAATGCTTAACACCAGCCTAAATGCTATATTAATTTAAAAAAATCAAGCTATGGATGTTATTGATTTTTTATTAAGAAAGGACAGACTATTCGTGAAATGATTACTAATATTAACAAGTTGTTTTTGAGGCAATACTATCAAATACTAAACATTTATTAAGTGTAGGGTTATAAACGAAAAGAGCATTTGAATATTCGTGTTGTATTGGGAATTGTACACTCAACCATTGCACTTATTTTGTTCACAGTTATCACTATCAAACATATACCTACCAAGAACAGTGACTCTGAATTGGTTATACATGATACCCGTGATGTTTGTATGGCGGCCATATTAGCAGGCGTGTTAGCCGAAAGGTGATGCGCCGTTGCGACCACGCCCATCATGAGTTCCTTCCTCATGAACGGTGGTTACCAACCGCAGCCGGACCCCAAATTCCCGCCTTCAGAAGAATACAGCCAAGCAGACTATATACCACCAGGAGAATATTACCAACACCAACATCTACAGTACGGGTACCAACATCAATATACTCCAGTGCAGATCGGGACAGGATACGGATATGGTGGGTACTACCATCCCTTACCACAACACCCACCAGTGGCACCACCTCCGCGACCTCCTGAACCATCGCATCCGTCTGACGCAGACCATGGATACGTTCCTCCTCATAGCGCTGATGTAGCACCAGGCTTAGCTGAACTGGGATTAAGACTAGAAAGGCATATAGAAGAAGCTGCTCCAGCTGGAAGGAAACTCCATGCGTTAGGGAGAGAAGGCTCTCCAGTATCAGAAATGGATGATGAGAGTAGACTTCTAGATAGTCCACCCGTAGAAGATGATGATTCTTCAATATGTTCAGATAATAATGACAGGGTCATTTATCCGTGGATGAAGAAGATTCATGTTGCTGGCGTGTGTAAGTATCAGACATTGCTTTTATTGTATTGCCTACGCTCATCTATGAGTTATACACATTACCTACTTATTATTTTGAAAAAGTAATTGACTATATACAAGAGGCTTTAATATTACAGAAATGTACCTATTGTTTACTGAAACAATACAATTATTTAGACCTCTGTAAATAGATAATAAACAAGCAATAGATGTGATAAAGCGCAACAAAGTATAAATAGGAAAACAAATATCGTCGGCCTTTTTTTATGTCCAAAGTAGCGAAAATTTTAGTAAAATGGAACATTTTATCTATCTGCAACGTATATTAATTTAAACAGATATTTACTAACAAATTCTTTACCCAAAATACATAGGTATAGATCATAGACCAATATAGCATTTTCAAATCAAAATCTCGTCAAAAATTTGAATGTTATTATACGTGCAGCATTTTATGAATAGGAAAGCAAAATTACCAACATTGGCCTTTCTTTTATGTTCAAAGTAGTAATTGCAAAATTTGCGTAAAATGGAACATTTTGTTCATCTGCAACGTATGTTTATTCGTATATATACTTGTACGTATAGAGAAGAGTGGTTACACACGGCGAGTTTCAGCAGCGATGTAAACACGCGATTGCATCGATGCATAAAATCGCGCGGGTGTGTAAACACGATTAGCGACTGCATCGCTACTGCATCGCGTTTGCATCGCTGCTAAAAGTCGCCATGTGTAATCGCTCTAAGAATTCGGGTACTGGTGAAATTACAGGCACTCTGACTTGTCAACTTGTGACTTAAGGGTAACAGGCACAGTGGCAATGCCGCCCAGATCTTTGCTATTTAAAGTTCTCAATGTCACTGTAACTGCAATGGACAAGCGTGTCGCTTACCACACCACCAGGCATACGACTCATTTGTTCCGTCTTTTAGTATTATAAAAAAGAAAGATATGAAGTAACAAATCTAACTAAAAATACCATTGACTTACAAATAAATGGACGTCGGGTCTAATACAAAAACCACGAAAAAAATGTCCCAAGTCAACCTATTCGAAATTTAAATTGTAATGTCATCGCAGTATCGCGCTGTCAGTAGAACAAATGAAGACTAAAGCGGAGTTTGGCGCTCTGTATACGATTTTAGCGCCTTACAAGTGCGGACACTTTTTAGCGCGGACCCGACGTCCATATAATTGTAAGTCAATGAAAAATACACATATAGTCATAGATTAACGTACCATTTTCAAATCAAAATCCCGTTAAAAATGTCATTACCATAACATTTTAATGTTCCATCGCATCCTTGGCGTTCCGTCGGCTCAATACAATCTTCAAAGTCAAATAAAATTCCATTTTCAAATGTTATTAATGTTACTACATAAATTTCATCCCTAAACTTCCACATGACACAAACTGGTTTTAAAACTTGAGTGCAAAATACTTTCTAACAGTGCCATGATGTTCGCGGCATGTTCTATGAAAGAATTAACAAATGGATCGCAATCAATAACTCTTACAATGTTTACGGATACTGGTAGACTGTTCTAAAGGATGGTTAGGACGCGTGTCTTTTTTGATGTGTTTTGACATTTTACTAATGCGCCGCCATTAAAAAGGTCTTCAAGTCGCCAGGATCTTTTGTATGACAATGGACCCCACACTCCATGTTAATGAGTGCTATTTATTTTTATAGCTTTTTAAATAGGAGTCTGTGGTTGTAAATTCGCTTCGGAGATTATCGATATCTAGTCCTTTTTGTAGATATTTTCTTTTGATTTCTATTGTATTTTGCTAAGATTTCTTTAGCTTAGCGGTTTTTGTTACTGTCAGCTTTTTTCAATTATAAATAAAATGCATTGTTTAGCTTACCTTAATTGTAACGTTTTTATAGGTTAATATTGATTTTTACGAATATTATGATGTTTTACTACCATGATATTTATTTATTTTTTGTGAAATCCAGTCTAATCCACTAATTTGTTATAATTGTTAATACAAAGATCGAGCATAAGGAAAAATTCCTTCGAGCTGATAGAACCTGCGTCTAAGCTATATCTACCAGGGCCACAGCTCTACTAAGTAAGGTACAAATCAAGTCAGCAGATCTTACGATTTTTTCTATTCATTTGTTACGTATGTTTTTGGTTTCAACAGAGGTTAATAAGGTTTCGAAAGATCATCGCATCGGAATAAAACTATTTTGTCGGATCTGAATCTCATATATTTATTTTTACAAAGTAGGAAACGTTTTTAGCATTTTATAAGTCCCATGACCACGGTTGGCTATGTACAAGACCCAAAATGTTGGTTTCTTTGAAAAAACAAACGTAAGCGACTTCCAATGTAGGTATAACAATCGCGAACACCTTAAAACTCGAAATTGGTATATCTTTCAAAAACATTTTGTATTTCATGAAAAGTTAAACTTAAAAAAAATTAATAATTAATTATTCGGCTATCTATAAATATAGGTAGGTATTTTTTGTTGTAGTTGATTAGCCTGTTTTGTTACATCAATTCAGCTGCTATATTTATCTGTCTTCCAGTGGCGAGGCGTGAAGATGGTTTAGTAACGCCGAAGCAAAACAAGAAACAATTGGCTTGACCAAATGGCGCTTTGGCGACAATTAAACGTAATACTTATAAGCACACAAGATACTACACTTACACGTACACTTTATTTCACTGGTTATTTATTTTACACGTAAAATTGGGCACAAAACGTAGTAAATTACTTTAAAATAGTTATAATTGGAAAGTTATAAACAACCGCTGGTAAAACGAGTTATATGGATGCCTTGCCACTGCTGTCTTCTACGAATATCTGTACAATACTTTTCTCTTTTAATGGTTTATTTGTGATTAGGAAGAGAAATAAGCGTAAATACTCATAATGCAAGTACGTCACCACTACTATTGCCATGAACTCCACAAACGTACAATATCTTTGATGTGTCAATCATTTAATTTTGCATATTCAACTCACTACAAATGCAACAAAATTATTTAAAAGTTATCATTAAAAAAATAACAAAACGCCGGCATGACAAAACACCGGAGCACTCGCATCCATTCTTCAGTTCAAGAGCATTAATGAACCGGCTCCCATTGATTGATCGCCACAGAAATTGCTAGCATCACATTCGCGCTAAGTTTTATACCGATTTTAAAGGTACGAGTGCTCTTATCGACACCTGTCAATGGGGGAACATTTTTCACTGGTGCAACAATAGTGGGACAAAGAGGCTGGAGATCCATCGTAAGTTGGACGTAATGAGGCGGGACCACCGGGCAGGTTTGATAGCGCATGCGTCGCGAGATCGACTCCAGATTAACAGATCGGTTACGAGACCACACGCTCGTCGCAGGTAGCCCGTAATTCAATTCAGATTGTCATCGTCCTGATGACGTGATATCGAAGCTAACGAAGCGATGTCGCCCGACCGGTAGCCGTGTAACGGGTTCTGTTTTGCAGACGAAATGATGAGTCGTATTTCTCATTAAGATCATTATGATTGTTGAGCTCGACCCTTGATGAATGTTTCTTACATGTAAGCCGGTTATGAAGAGACTTAATGAGTTCAGAGTGGGTGTTAAATATGTTTTGCAAGTTCTTACAATGGAGTTTATCAATGAATCAGTATACGTATACACTTTGTGGCTTTATTGATGGAAAGTTGATTGGGTCTTAGTTTTCTATGTGGACAAATATTGTCGCAAGATCTTCCTCTAAATTATGGTAATCTTAATTATCATTGATAATGATAACTAAGCGTTACTATCGTTAAATATTTATATCGATTTGCGTGTTTTCAAGAACATTGGCATTTAGTAGCAGTAGAGTTTCTTGTGAGAGTTCGTCCAAGGAAGTACTGTCACCATACCTATTTATGCCGCAATAATTATGAACATTACTGCATTTCGGTTTTGAAAAGCAAAGGTGCTGGTAAAATTACAAGTATATGGGACTTTTCAACTTAGGTCTCAGGGCCACTGGCGCAGTGGCTCAGATCTTTGCGCGGCCTTGCAACTGTTGGACAAGCGTGTTCCTTATCACCAGGCGTGACTTGGTCGGCGCATCACCTGGTATCATAGAAAAATGGATTCGTTAATAACACATATGACCCTGGTTCAAAACAAGTTTTCTACGACGTTGCATTGAACTTAATCTGTTGTTGTATGATTGACACTAATATATATTTTGATTACGCTTTCAAGGCTTCAAATTGCCTACCTTATAGTAACCAGTTGCTGTCGCCTAAGGCTTGAAAAGATTATTAAAATGTTTGCGGTCAAGCTTGCGATTCATGTGTCAAGTAGACTTTATAAAGGTCGCTTTTAAAGTAATCTCAAAAAATTATAACTAGTTTTCAGGAAGAGCAAAAATCTAGAAAATTAAACTATTTTTCCGTTTTATCTTTTATATATATATAATTAATCTTTTTCAAACAAACCAACGCTTCGGGCCTTTTACAGGTCCCATGGCCACGATTGACTGAGGTGGTAAGGTCATCAACCAGTTATGTCGAATATTAATGCAAACCACCTTATTTTTCACTATAGTTACAAAAGTAAAAAGTAACTTATTTTTAAATTTTACAAGGAACATTATAATTTACATAATACGTGTTTTACATTTGTTTTATTTTAAAAATAAGATTTTTTTATTAAATTCAATTTATTATCGATTAATAATGGAAATGAGAATAAATTATAACATATTAAATAGTAGGTATATGTCTGTTTGAGATTTTTCATCAAAGCGTTCGCAAACTGGTAGTACGGAGAAATCATATTCCCGGTTGAAATTGCAAATAAAAACCTAATTTTCAAAATATCGTCTTCTGTGTCAAAAATATTCAATAAAAATATCGCACTCTACTATCAAAAATGACAATTTTTTTATGTTAGCAAGTAATGGGACCTACAAATTGTGAGCCTGGTAGTAAGCAACATGAATCTCCATAACAGTTTCAGTGCCACTCAGATTCAACGCTTTCAGAGTTCTCAGAGCTTT